CTCAGTGAACTACCACAGCGCTGTTGAGTGATGTGGTAGTTAATTGATTCTTCTTGTCACAGTATATCTGCTCGCCTGTATGAGGTACGAGCACACAGATACCCTGACAGGTTTGCAGGAGTCCTGCATGTCACCAGCAATCTGCTGATCGCTGGTGCAATGCTTTTCAGGTTCCAAAACTTAATAAATAAATAAAATAGTAAATGCACATTTTGTACCTGCAAAGAAATGGGAATTTTTAAAAAATGTTTGTTAAAGAGAACTTATCCTTTAAAAACATTGCAAACCGTGACAGGTTCACTTTATAGTACTGTCACCGACTCAGCTCCTGCCACTATGGATAGCAAAGTATGCAAATAACAAGTTGGGCTGCTGCAGAGGAGAACGTTATTACACACTCATATTCCTGGCACAATGTTGCATTACCCCACTTGCATGACCTTGGAAGACTTGTGCGATGATTCTAAAATCACTGGAGTATGGTGTTACCCTTAGGTGAAATAACACAGAGCAGATGCTACTTGTAAAGTGTCAGCACATCCTGCAGATAATGGAACATTCCGCCAGCGTGTAATTGACTCTGGAGCGGAAACAAATAGTCCTCTTCACCTTTGTAGTAAACTCAATGAGCTGTTACCAAAAATCTACAGGCAGATATTCTAAGCTGTAAACTTTCATAGTTTTTTCTGTAAGAGTTTTAATGTACTCATAGATGCCGAACTCCTGTATACTCAACGCAGACCTAAAGTCTAAAATTCATTAATCCTTCACACCAGAAGATTACGGTTACCAGGTACAGGGATAGGGGAGGGATAAGAGCACAGAGGATTTCAACTAACCAAATAGCCATCAGCACAAGGGACACTTTTCACTGATTGTAAGCTCAGTCCCTTGTGCTGATTTGAAAAAAAACCTCTGAAATGAAAAATGAACAAAGCATATCATTCTGTAGGGTGTACTTGCCTCTATCCAAAGCACTTAGTATGATTTATGTCTGATCTATAATTTCTCTGCTATTTGCATGAATCAGTTCTGGCAGCCGATGCTGACATCAGACAACCCTGGGAGACAGCCCCACGCCCCTTCCAGCATGCCAGGTGATTGACAGGCTCAACTGTACATGTTTCCCTATGAGACTGGTGGGTGTGTCCTTTCCCTGCACTCAGGTCTCAGATTACAATTAGCTCCCTATGCTATAATGTGCATTATGTGACATCAGATCCGTGCCCTTGGTCTTCTGAAGTTCAGAAATGCTGTCTAATTTCTGTGCTTTGAATGTCTATAAAGGAGAGAGGGCTTAGATAAACAGGTACAACTTATATAAGAGGATTTGTGTCATCACTGTGTATCACCTGATGCTAGTCACTTCAGGGAGTATAATGTATGTACGGATTTACAACCACTTTAAGTATAAATCCACTTTAAGAAAAAAATTATTATTTTTTTTTACATAAAGTGATACAATGTTTTCTATTGTTTGCTTATTAGATCAATGTACAAAGGTGCAATTGATTCTGTCCGTGCTTCGCAGTGTGGTTCCAGTCCTTTATTTCACCTGGGGCTATTGATTTTATTGTACTTGCTGTGACTTAGAATCGCTTTCCTTTAAAATTCCTTTTTATGTTCATGCCATTGGCACAGTGATATAAATTAAAGATGTACCTTTCTGCGGAGAGTCCTTCGCGCTCTCCTCTCTGTCGCTCGTCGTTTGCTGTCCATTACTTTGTAATTAAAAACAACACTATTTAGCAACCAATTGAAAGTTTGTATTTAACCCTTCCTGGTCACACTGCTCTAGTCGAGTGGAGCACAGCCTTGAACAAACCATTGCAATGTGATATTAAGTCCCACAATGCATTGCTTCAGTAAATGTCAAGTGTGCATGTAATAAGGAGTTTGGTAGTGGATGGACACAGGAGATAGCTAGCAATGGAAAAGATAATGTTTATGGAGTCTTGCAGTTTAGGACAAATTGCTGGCAGAAACGTGTGAAGGTTACGGCAGAGTACGGTTCATGAACAGCTTAGAGTTATCGTTAAAAATGGTGGATGCTGTCAGGGATTAAATAAGACTTCTACTGTTGCTGAATTTTTTTTAACCTCTTCCCGATAGAGTAACACACACAGTCCTCAGCATAAAATTATTTATTTATTTCAGGTACTTACAGTGGGGATCGAAAGTTTGGGCACCCCAGCTAAAAATTTGTATTAATGTGCATAAAGAAGCCAAGGAAAGATGGAAAAATCTCCAAAAGGCATCAAATTACAGATTAGACATTCTTATAATATGCCAACAAAAGTTAGATTTTATTTCCATCATTTACACTTTCAAAATAACCGAAAACAAAAAATGGCGTCTGCAAAAGTTTGGGCACCCTGCAGAGTTAATATCTTGTACTGCCCCCTTTGGCAAGTATCACAGCTTGTAAACGCTTTTTGTAGCCAGCCAAGAGTCTTTCAATTCTTGTTTGAGGTATCTTTGCCCATTCTTCCTTACAAAAGTCTTCCAGTTCTTTGAGATTTCTGGGCTGTCTGTCACGCACTGCTCTTTTAAGGTCTATCCATAGATTTTCAATTATGTTGAGGTCAGGAGATTGTGAAGGCCATGGCAAAACCTTCACTTTACGCCTCTTGATGTAATCCCCCGTGGATTTCGAGGTGTGTTTAGGATCATTATCCATTTGTAGAAGCCATCCTCTCTTTAACTTCAGCTTTTTCACAGATGGCATCAAGTTACCATCCAAAACTTGCTGAAATTTTATTGAATCCATTCTTCCTTCTACTCGTGAGATGTTCCCTGTGCCACTGGCTGCAACACAACCCCAAAGCATGATTGATCCAACCCCATGCTTAACAGTTGGACAGAGGTTCTTTTCATTAAATTCTGTGCCCCTTCTTCTCCAAACGTACCTTTGCTCATTCCGGCCAAAAAGTTCAATTTTAACCTCATCGGTCCACAGAACTTGTTTCCAAAATGCATCAGGCTTGTCTATATGTTCATTTGCAAAGTTCAAACGATGATTTTTGTGGTGAGGACGTAGAAGAGGTTTTCTTCTGATGACTCTTCCATGAAGACCATATTTGTACAAGTATCTCTTTATAGTGGAATAGTGTACCACAACTCCAGTGTCTGCCAGATCTTTCTGGAGGGATCGTGCAGTCAAACGTGGGTTTTGAATTGTTTTTCTCACAATCCTGCGAGCTGTTCTGTCTGCTATTTTTCTTGGTCTTTCAGATCTTGCTTTAACTTCCACTGTTCCTGATGACTGCCATTTCTTAATTACATTCCGAACAGAGGGTATTGACATCTGAAAACGCTTTGCTATCTTCTTATAGCCTTCTCCAGCTTTGTGAGTGTCAACTATTTTCAGTTTCAGTTTTCTAGACAACTGTTTGGAAGAACCCATGGTGCTGATTGTTGGGGCAAGGTCAGATGAGTCTGGGCATTTAAAACCTTTGAGATTGACATCACCTGGTCTTCCCAGATGATGATTGAGAACAATCCATGACACTGGCAGGTCTCAGCTTGGCAAAGGGGGTAGTGCATGCTATAAATTCTGCAGGGTGCCCAAACTTTTGCAGACGCCATTTTTTTGTTTTCTGTTATTTTGAAAGTGTAAATGATGGAAATAAAATCTAACTTTTGTTGACATATTATAAGAATGTCTAATCTGTAATTTGATGCCTTTTGGAGATTTTTCCATCTTTCCTTGGCTTCTTTATGCACATTAATACAAATTTTTAGCTGGGGTGCCCAAACTTTCGATCCCCACTGTATATAGCACTGTCAATTTACACAGCACTTTACATATATATTGTACTTTCATATCAGTCCCTAACCCTCATGGGGTGTACAATCTAAGGTCCCTAACTCACATTCATATACAAGGGCCAATTTAGACAGGATCCAATCAACCTACCAGCATGTCTTTGGAGTGCGGGAGGAAACTGGAGTACTCACGCAGGCACAGGGAGAACATGCAAACTCCAGGTAGGAGGTGCCTTGGCTGGGATTTGAACCAATGGCCCTAGTACTGCCAGGTGGAAGTACTAACCATTTAGCCACTGTGCTGCCCATAAATGAGTACAACCTTTGAACCTGTAAGATTCAAATCAATATCTCAATGAACACAAGAACAATTTCTAACATTTTTGACAAAACTTAAGTTTTATAGAACGTTTGTTTAGCTCATTACAGGAAAGTAAGATTCATAATATAACTTAGATTACAGAATCTTCAATTTACTCAAATAATTGATACAAAAAGTGAATACACCCCACAACAAAAACTACTACATCTAGTATTTGGTATGACCTCCATGATTTGTAAGGACAGCTCCAAGTCTTCTGGGAATGGAATGAACAAGTTGGCAACATATCGCACCATGTATCTTCTTTCATTCTTCAAGAACGATCTCTTTTAGAGCCTGGATGCTGGATGGAGAGTGATGCTCAACTTGTATCTTCAGAAATCCCCATATCTGTTCGATTGGGTTCAGATCAGGAGACATACTTGGCCACTGAATCACTTTCACCCTGTTCTTCTTCAGAAATGCAACAGTGGCCTTAGATGTGTGTTTTGGATCATTGTCATTTGGATCATTGTCAAAAGAGTGAGGGTAGCATCTTCTCCTTTAATATAGAGCAGTACATCTGTGAATTCATGATACCATCAATGAAATGCAGCTCCCCAACACCAGCAGCACTCATGCAGCCCCACAGAAGGACACTGCCACCACCATGTTTCATTGTAGGCACCATGCATTTTTCTTTGTACTCCTCACCTTTGCGATACCTTACAGTTTTGAAGTATTTAGTTTCAAAAACCTTTATCTTGGCCTCATCACTCCAGAGTTTCAGTATTGGCTCTGGCAAATTCTAGGCGGGCATTTTTGTGCATGGGCTTTATGAGAGGCTTTCTTCATGGATGGCACCCATGCATGCCATTCCTCTGCAGTGTATGTTGTTTGTGTCATGAGAAACAATCACCCCAGTTTGGCTTTCTACTTCTTTAGCTAACTGCAATGAACTTGCATGGCAATTTTCTTCAACCCTTCTCATCAGAAGACGCTCCTGTCGAGGTGTTAATGTCTGTGGATGGCCTGGACATCTCTGTGAGATGGTTGCAGTTCCATCTTTGTTAAATTTTCTTAGCACTTTTGCTACAGTATTCTGACTGATAAGTAAAGCTTTGCTGATGTTCTTGTAGCCTTCACCTTTCATATGTAAAGAAATGTTTTTCTTTCTCAGGCCTTGGGACATTTTTCTTTCATTGTGGTGCCATTGCTGACAGCATGAAATGAAAAGGGGTTTCTTTGTTAAGTAATGCTCTTTTATAATCAATTGTCTGCTGGACACCTGTTTAATGAATAATTAGCTTCACATGTAGATTAATTCTTGTTAATTAGGATTTTGTTGTCTAAAATTTAGCTTTGCTCCTAAGACTTTCATTGGGGTGTATTCATTTTTGCAACATGGTCTTGAATGAATTTGTTAGGAAAAATACTTTTTTTTGTTTTGCAAATTAACAAATCTTGTTTGCAAACAATGGGCCGCATTTGTGGAAGTATTTTGTAGTATTGTGTCCCATAGAAAATGTTTATTCTGAAAGGAAAGTAAAGGTTTCCTGACAAATCTGTTGGGGTGTACTCATTTATGCTGAGCACTGTATATGCAGTTGCAAGGTAGGTGGGCCCTAAGGCTGCCGCATATGTGCATCCATGAAGCTCTGAGGTTCTACGCTAGGAGCATGCTCATTGCGTCTTTCTTTGCAATGGGGAACCAGCAGGAGGGGCTTATGATCATGTGATAGCTGATCATAGCGATCATGTGATCAGTAAACGTCCTCTTTTTCAATCTCTTAAAGGGATACTGAGAGGCAAGTACTAGGGGTTTAAGCTGTGTGCTTCTGCTATGCCTTCCTTATCTTCACCATGCTTCTTAGTGGATAGAATGAAGTGGGACCCGCAACCTATGCTGCTGAAGTAGTTCACAATTCAAAGTGGGTGCATTTTGACCTTTTCTTTTTGGGTGCTAAAAGACCTTGTCCCAACATTGATGACTGTACTGTCAGTGATTTCTGGCAGTATCATGTAATATTATCAATCAGCAGGCCATAGGTGGATCGAATCTTGGCCAGTTCAGCAGGGTCTGGCCAAGATTCGATCCATCTAAGGGCAGGCTGGTTGTACTTAAGCTGATCCATACAAATTTTTTTTCATAGCCACCAGCACTGATCATTGTGTTCTGTCACCAGGGAAGGATCCTCTTCGGGAAAACACAACAGCTCTGTGGGAAGGATTCCCCTATCAACATCAATGTGGGCATTGAGCAGTTTTATTTCCTGCAACCCGAGGTTGCAGGAAAGAAAATTGCTTATTGTTTGGCTTGCTAAGTGTCTCCTTCAGCAGGTCCCCAGACTCCATCCTCTTCTGTAGCATGGCTTTGGTCTCTTACTATCTCCTCTAACGTGCCCACAATCTCTGGCAGTATATGCATTGGTTATATGTGTCCTATAAATAATGTCAGGGACCGCATTTAGGGCTAAAATAATAAGTTGACTGCCAAAAGATTAGCACATTGCAACTTATATCTATCATGTTGGTTCCACCAACCCGCTTGCAGCAGTTATCAAAACACAACCTTGATCTCTCAATCCATTACCAGAGAATAGTCTATTGTCCTCTGTTCTTAGGTAACAGGGCCCACTCCAGAGTTTCAGTATTGGCTCTGGCAAATTCTAGGCGGGCTTTTTTGTGCATGGGCTTTAGGAGAGGCTTTCTTCATGGATGGCACCCATGCATGCCATTCCTCTGCAGTGTATGTTGTTTGTGTCATGAGAAACAATCACCACAGTTTGGCTTTCTACTTCTTTAGCTAACTGCAATGAACTTACATGGCAATTTTCTTCAACTCTTCCCATCAGAAGACGCTCCTGTTGAGGTGTTAATGTCTATGGATGGCCTGGACATCTCTGTGAGATGGTTGCAGTTCCATCTTTGTTAAATTTTTTTATCACTTTTGCTACAGTATTCTCACTGATAAGTAAAGCTTTGCTGATGTTCTTGTAGCCTTCACCTTTCATATGTAAAGAAATGTTTTTCTTTCTCAGGCCTTGGGACATTTTTCTTTCATTGTGGTGCCATTGCTGACAGCATGAAATGGAAAGGGGTTTCTTTATTAAGTAATGCCCTTTTATAATCAACTGTCTGCTGGACACATGTTTAATGAATAACTAGCTTCACATGTAGATTAATTCTTGTTAATTAGGATTTTGTTGTCTAAAACCTTGATCTGTCAATCCATTACCAGAGAATAGTCTATTGTCTTCTGTTCTTAGGTAAGGGGGCCCACTCAAAAATCACATTGAGCTTAGGAGGAGCACCTCTGCCAAGACCTCACCATGCACCCACAAAGTTAACCAGGGCTGCCTTTATTAGACTGGGCGAAATAATCCATCCACTGCCATTGCACCTTGCAAAGAAAGTTTTTTGGTACATCTTAAAGCTTAAAAGAAAAACTTTCAAGAATGTGAAGCACTCTTTAGTAGAATGCAGTTCTGTTCTTGCAGAAAATGAAAATGTATATGTTAATAAATAGCTAATCATTATAGGAAAGGGGAACATAATAATTATTCTAAATATATGTAACCGCATGAAAAGAATTTTATAAATTATACAAACTATTTACTTTATATGTTATTGTAGTGTGTGTGTCTTTATGTGTACAACAAGACCCTTGTGTAGTTCTGGAACCTCGAAGTGATAGCTCACGTGTGTTGTACCAAGAGCCTCATTGTCATCAATATCTAGAAGAAAGGAGATAAGATGATGGACTGTAATTTTATTTGCAGTGAATACATACAATGATCATTTTATGCAAACAATATCACAAATAATATTGAAGTATTAAGCATAACTACAGCCATGCCCTAATTAGAAAATATTATAGTAGAAAGTACAATTAGAAATTCATACTCATTATAATAGCCAATAGTCCTAATTTTCTCACTCCCTTGCTTTCCAGATTAAAATTACAGAAATAATTATCTGAGTGCCTTTTACATTCATTCAATTTAAAATGTTACTAAACCCAGGACCCTGCATTCACTATATCTGGCCTCCCACAGTACACAGAGCATGGAAATTCCATTATTTCAGTAAATATAAACCACTAAATATTTTTTCTCATCAGCAATTAGAGCAGTCTTGTGACTTCTATCAGTGTCCAGTAGAACACTGGCTATAGCTTGTAGGAGGAGTTTTCATTCTCTCCCGATTGTCCTATGAGGCTGCAGGACACCTGACCCTCTGGTACATGGCCTGCTGTCATTAAAGTGTTACTATACCCAGGACCCTGCATTCAGTATATCTGGTCTCCCACATTACACAGAACATGGAAATGCAATTATTTTAGTAAATATAAACTGCTAAATACCTTTTGTCATCAGCAGTTACAGCAGTTTTGTGACTTCTATCAGTGTCCAGCACAGCACATGTTAAAGCTGGTAGGAGGAATTTTCTTTCTGCTCTAGGAGGATGCAGGACCCCTGAACTCTGTCTGGACAGCACTGATTGGCCCTGTGCTGATCACATGCACTCTCCCAAGAATAAAAAAAAAACTCTCTAGTAATACACACCAAACTGAGAATGTGTAGCTTGCCCCCAAGGCTCTGTTCTATCGGCAGATGGATTGGGGACTGTGGAAGAAGGGGAGGATAAGAGAAGACAGGATCACCGAGCATGGAAATGCAATTATTTTAGTAAATATAAACCGATAAATATTTTTTTCTCATCAGCAATTAGAGCAGTCTTGTGACTTCTATCAGTGTCCAGTAGAGCACTTGTAGCAGGAGTTTTATCATTCTATCCCGATTGACCTATGAAGGCTGGTTATAGCTTGTAGGAGGAGTTTTCATTCTATCCCGATTGTCTTATGAGGCTGCAGGACACCTGACACTCTGTCTGGACAGCACTGATTGGCCCTGTGCTGATCACATGCACTCTCTCAAGCAAAAAAAACTCTCTAGCAATACACACCAAACTGAGCATGTGCAGTTTACCCCCCCCCCCCCCCCCCCTCCCAGGGCTTTGTTCTATCAGCAGATGGATTTGGGACTGTGGAAGAAGGGGGAGGATAAGAGAAGACAGGATCAAACATCCTTTTTACACAATGTAGAGGATTAACCCCTTAGGTTTCACAGTGAGTATAACAAGCATGCTTTACTGCATATACAGACTGATTTTACTGTTGTGGGTTTTAGTAACACTTTAGTCCTACAGACACAGCTTTGCTAGCAAGCTATATATATTTAATAAGCTCGAAAGAGCAGGGCCCTCGAACCCCTTGTGTATCACATTGTATTGGTATTGTTCTGTCACATGTTCTGTCCCCCTTTGTAATGTACAGCGCTGAGCGAACTATTGGCGCTTTATAAATACTGTATAATAATAATAATAATACATCTTTAATATGTCAGGTTGTTGCCTGATGAACAAATATGCCATCCACCTCTAATAGGTGGTAGATAGTAGAGTAAAAATTGTCACCCCCCCCCCCCCCCCGTGTATGATAAGGAGAGCATAGTAAGGTATGTATATGTTCTTCTGCATGCACTCTCTCAGTCAAGAAAGTCATATTAGTGATTCTAGGGAAAAAAAAAAGATTTGCAGTCACATAATTTGCATACCATACAGTGAAAAGGTATATTTTTATATAATATTTTATAGAACAAGTGCAAGTATCAAAATCAATCAGCGATATCAGAAAAATGACATAAAAAAAGGACATTGTAACATTATATATATTTGTGCATCATTGTATGTATTCTCACTGTGCTTTCATAGAAGTCGTACCTAAGGCTAGGTTCACTATGCGTTTCTTGGAAAGGTGCAGGGACTTTTTTTTACATGCAGAAAAGTGTGAGCCTAGTCTAAAAGTAGAGTTCTAACTTGAGTCTGCAGAATGACGTTTTTCGTCTAATTTCAGTCTAGCCTCCTGGACTGTGCAGGGAAATCTGATCCTAGTTCCATTTTTGCTTATCTGTTTTAAGCTGGACTTACCTCTGAACATGCGATCTCTGGTGCAGTAGACAGTTTTGAAGCTGCCAAAATCTCTGTTATCTTCACAGTTCATATTGTTTCTCATTGTTATGTGTCTTGTATGTTTTGCATATTTACCGCCATGTTATTTCTGTAATCATTTTATTTTATTAAATTGTTGAAGATGTGTACAGTGGGGATCGAAAGTTTGGGCACCCCAGCTAACATTTGTATTAATGTGCATAAAGAAGCCAAGGAAAGATGGAAAAAATCCTCCAAAAGGCATCAAATTACAGATTAGACATTCTTATAACATGTCAACAAAAGTTGGATTTTATTTCCATCATTTACACTTTCAAAATAACAGAAAACAAAAAAATGGCGTCTGCAAAAGTTTGGGCACCCAGCAGAGTTAATATCTTGTACTGCCCCCTTTGGCAAGTATCACAGCTTGTAAATGCTTTTTGTAGCCAGCCAAGAGTCTTTCAATTCCTGTTTGAGGTATCTTTGCCCATTCTTCCTTACAAAAGTCTTCCAGTTCTTTGAGATATCTGGGCTGTCTGTCACGCACTGCTCTTTTAAGGTCTATCCATAGATTTTCAATTATGTTGAGGTCAGAAGATTGTGAAGGCCATGGCAAAACCTTCAGTTTACGCCTCTTGATGTAATCCCCCGTGGATTTCGAGGTGTGTTTAGGGTCATTATCCATTTGTAGAAGCCATCCTCTCTTTAACTTCAGCTTTTTCACAGATGGCATCAAGTTACCATCCAAAATGTGCTGAAATTTTATTCAATCCATTTTTCCTTCTACTCGTGAGATGTTCCCTGTGCCACTGGCTGCAACACAACCCCAAAGCATGATTGATCCAACCCCATGCTTAACAGTTGGACAGAGGTTCTTTTCATTAAATTCTGTGCCCCTTCTTCTCCAAACGTACCTTTGCTCATTCCGGCCAAAAAGTTCAATTTTAACCTCATCGGTCCACAGAACTTGTTTCCAAAATGCATCAGGCTTGTCTATATGTTCATTTGCAAAGTTCAAACGATGATTTTTGTGGTGAGGACGTAGAAGAGGTTTTCTTCTGATGACTCTTCCATGAAGACCATATTTGTACAAGTATCTCTTTATAGTGGAATAGTGTACCACAACTCCAGTGTCTGACAGATCTTTCTGGAGGGATCGTGCAGTCAAACGTGGGTTTTGAATTGTTTTTCTCACAATTCTGCGAGCTGTTCTGTCTGATATTTTTCTTAGTCTTCCAGATCTTGCTTTAACTTCCACTGTTCCTGATGACTGCCATTTCTTAATTACATTCCGAACAGAGGATATTGACATCTGAAAACGCTTTGCTATCTTCTTATAGCCTTCTCCAGCTTTGTGAGCGTCAACTATTTTCAGTTTCAGTTTTCTAGACAACTGCTTAGAAGAACCCATGGTGCTGATTGTTGGGGCAAGGTCAGATGAGTCTGGGCATTTAAAACCTTTGAGATTGACATCACCTGGTCTTCCCAGATGATGATTGAGAACAATCCATGACACTGGCAGGTCTCAGCTTTGCAAAGGGGGCAGTGCATGCTATAAATTCTGCAGGGTGCCCAAACTTTTGCAGACGCCATTTTTTTTGTTTTCTGTTATTTTGAAAGTGTAAATGATGGAAATAAAATCTAACTTTTGTTGACGTATTATAAGAATGTCTAATCTGTAATTTGATGCCTTTTGGAGATTTTCCCATCTTTCCTTGGCTTCTTTATGCACATTAATACAAATTTTTAGCTGGGGTGCCCAAACTTTCGATCCCCACTGTATATACAAATATAGATATGCTTAAAGTGTCTTGGTCTTGAGAAAGGCGGGCTGTGCCCTGCCAAAACTTTGGCATTGTTTAACCTACGCAGGAAATTTCATCTTGTTGTAAGTCCCATTGAGTGCACCTACTGCCTGCTTGATATGCTTAAAGCGGACTTCCACTCAACCTGTCAAAAAATAAAAGTCAGCAGCTACAAAAAGTGTAGCTGCTGACTTTTAAAAAACAGCCACTTACCTGTCCCTCGGTCCCGTGGTGTGTCCCCCGCAGCCCGTTTCACTGGCTGTCCTGTATTCCAGGAGGCCGGCATCTTCAGTGTGGGCACCCGGCTGTGACAGCTTGCGGCTTCACAGCCGGGTACCCACTGCACATGTGCGAGTAGCGCTGCGCTTCATGAATGGGCCTGTAGTCTTCTGGGACCTGTCACGTGTCCCAAAAGACTACAGGGAGGGAAGGAGGGAGGACACCTTTCCGCCTCCGGTCACCTAGGCGATTGGACCGGAAGTGGGAGCGGGTACCTGTCAAATTTGGGTACCCGCTCCCCCACCCCCCCAAAAGGTGCCAATCCTTAATGGGGAGTGGAGGAGCAGTCCTTAAAGCGGAACTTCTCCTTTTGGGTGGAACTCCGCTTTAAAGTGGATTTTTAGCCATTTTATTTCTTTAAGTTAAAGTTAGAACCTTTGTCAGGATTCTATTGCCGTTTCCCAGGTAGGTAGATTTTTCCCTCCTTTATGGTTCTGGTGACCACACAGGAAGCCAGGAAGAAATCCCCTCAAAGGGACCGGTGAGAAAGGCCTTAAAGTGGTTGTAAACCCTTACATGTGCTTAGTGAAGTGACCGACCTTAGGTGATACACAGAGATGAAACAAATCCTTCTACATAAGTTGTACCTTTTTATCTTCAGTCTTCTCTTCTCTACATCCATTGAATGTGATGAATATATAAAGCTTGTGGAGCTGTAAAAAAAATGGGGTGGAGAGCTGAAGTTACACTCTGCAGAGCTTAGTAAAGAGAGCTTTGAGAGCTGATTGGAGCAAAGGGGTACACCTCTCCTTCACATAGCTCACAGGAACAGAGCTGAGGCTGTCGGTCTACTGGAAGTCCATCTTCCTCACAATTTTTCTCTTGGTGTCAGGAAAACTTGTCAGAAGTGATTCATGCTGATAGCTGAGGAATGAAGCAGCAGACAGAAATTACATTTAGTGGCCTTAACTGAGACAAGTACACACTATAGAGGGATGTGCTTTGTTCATATTTCATGTCTGAGGTTTACAACTACTTTAACACTACTCTACTTTCTTGAAGATTTAAAAAAAAAAACCAAAACATAAAAATATGATCCATTAACAAAGCTTTAACACAAGGATAAGGATGTTTATTTTAGCCATGTGACTGTAATTTCCAAATCTCATTGGACTAAAAATAATTGTTTGAAAATAAGGGTTCATTACCCTTAATGTGTTAACCTTGTTAAGTGACTTGAAGCCAGGAACAGCACTGTGTGCAGATTTTAATGAAATTTCATTCATTGGAAATGGACATTGTCCCCAACCTATAAGTATCTCTAAGTATCTGTAAAAATAGGTCCTGTTACACTTAGGAACCATTTTTAACCACTTGCCGTCCAGCATATATGCATCCTATACAACAAGTAATTATACCAGGATCATGGTTGCAACTGCAGCCACAATTCTGGTATCAACATTTTCAGCCGGCAATGGGCTTCAAAATAAAAGTGATTTGATCACTTTACAGAGCTCAGAAGGGGACCCCCCCACAATGCTCCCGTTGTCCTGGGGTGCCCTGGACCACTACAAACTGTTGAGCCTGTTGCTGACAGAAGAGAAAGATAAGGAGAAGCAATGAGGATTTTATCACTTCCAGTTTTGGTTCTTTGTACACTCCTTTACCGGCCAGTGAAGCAGACGATCAAGCCAATCTTGGTTTGATCCCTTGAACTGGAAGGCAGAGGAGGCATCAGGGTCTAATAGACCTCTCCATAAACTGGACATGTCCTGCCCCAGGTATCACCATTGATATTGTTCATCCTTTGGGATATCAATAAAGTTGTACAAAAATAATGTAATGAAAAAGTGTAAAAAAAAAAATATTTAAATAATGTAAATTTTAAAAAAATGTTTAAAGCACCCTGCCCCCCCCCCAACCCCTTCATGCTCATGCGCAAATGTGATTGCATGAATAGGT